TCTGAAACACTGGTAATTGACCTTGCTCCTTTCTGGTACTTGGACTGAATCTCTTCATTGAAGTGGGGGTAGTGAGCCTGGAAACTTCATGGGATTGAATAATTTTGTGGTATATTTAAACTGGATTGCCATAAAACCCAGAGAACTTTTTTAGTTCACGTCTCTGAAGGTTAGGACAATTGCGATATTGGGTGAACATTAACAAATTCCTTCCTTTTTTTTTTTTCTTATTCCATGAAAATACTGTCAAATTTGTTTTCAGAATTTTAATTTTTTGTTGGGGTTTATGGGTTCACAAAGAGACTGAGGAGGCACTTTTATTTGAGCAAAGTATCTGCCAATCCTGGGAGAGAGAGGAATTCTGTTTTATATTTATGTGGGTGTGTGCCAGACCCTGAATTTGGATTGTTACATTAAGTTTGCATGGCACTTACCCTTTGATTTGGGGATCTTTTGGTCCTGTTTTGGCCTTGGTTGATAATGCTCATATTCCTTATGTTTCTCCTGAGTAGATTCTTAAATCAACAAAATACACATAAGTGTCTCTGATGGAACACATGCTTTGTGTAATGTCCTTAATTTCTGCAGTGAGAGTGTGCTATTTTTACCAGAAGAAAATGAGACTATTCTAAATTCAGCCTTCCCCTTGGGAATGGTATGGAATTGCAAAATACATTAACTCACAAAGCTACTTACCTGTTTGTCGTGGTAAAGGTGCTTGTAATTTGTTTTACTTATGCAGCATGGGAAATATTACCAATTATAAGGAAATCTAAATTTCTCTAGGAGCTGGAAAATAAGTCTGATCAGATGTGATTATCTGAGCTCATAAGAGGCAAGCAATACTGAATGGTTTATTTTAGCTCAGTAAATCAAAATAATGAAGACCACTGGCCTTGAAGTGTTGGTAGTTCCATTAACCAACCTCCTTACCACTGTTGCCTATTAGAAAATGGGATGATACTGGAAAGGGACGCTTGGCCAGGCCTTGATTCTCTCTCCTCAGGCCTAGTAAGACTCCCATCTTCCTGAGAGGTCACTCAGCACCCCTTCAAGTGAAAAGGGCCTTTACTTGGGTTCAGTTGTCCTTGAAGGCAAGGTGGAACCCTTTAAAGGGGCAAGTTTGGGGGAAGATGGCTATAACCTTGGACAGTTAGAGCCTGGCAGCTTCACTTTACTTCAGCTGTAGGTCCTAAGTTACAGCTCTGCCACTTCTGACTTGATCGTGTGAAGCAAATCATTATTCGTCTTGCTTTCATTGTCTCAATCTATCTGAGCCTTAAACGGGTTACCTTACTGCCTCCCTGGAGTGCTGTAGGAAGTGTTCCTCAATATTTTAAACTCATGCCTCTGGATATAACATTAAAACTCTGATCTTTGCTTTAATGTTTCAAAAATCAATAATGTAACTAAAATGCAGTTTTAGACAGTCTTTTTAAAGGCACAGAGTCTTTCTGTTCCTTAGTATTAACTTAAATCCTCTGCTCTTTCTTAACAGGTTCTGGATAAAAGTCTCCAAGTCCCAGATGAGTTGTCCCACCAGTTTTAAAGTAACTTGCTTGAACTCAGTGCAGAAGAACAGCTAATTTAACATAAATGGGAAATAAAAAGGATTCAGTATCAGGCAAATCACTCTTCATCAGGTCCAGTGGTCACCATTACCCCAAAGCAAAGCTGAACAACCCCCCCACCCCCCGTCGGTTTCCTTCCCCCTGAAGCATTCAGGGATCCTGAGGTCACCAGGAGAGTATAAAGAAAGGATGAGGGTGGAAGAGCAAGAGGGTAACTGGCCACTCTGCCCTTTTCCAAAACATGGGGAGGTCATGTGGTTTCACTGGCTTCTTAGTTCACACTAGCTGTAGGGACACTGCCCTGGGGTTTTCAGGAGGGGGCGTTTTAGAGGGATTAAGAGGCAAGAGTCAGCAGAGGTGCCATTGTTGTAGGAGCAAATTCCGCTGGTATTGGTGGCAACGTTTAGGTTTCCCCAGGAATAAATTCTCATAACCTTTATACTCTTGGACATTCTTAGTTTTCAAGAGTCTGAAATCCTGCGGAGCTCTGTAAACTATTCTTGGGCTTGATCTCCAGTCCTGAATTCTCTCAGTCCATGGCTGTGCGGATTGGATGGATAGCGTTTTGACAGGTTAGGCTCCTTCCTGGGCCAGGCTGGATGTTCCTTCCCTGTCCAGACCCTATGTATCTTACATTTCCGTCATTCCGTTAGCACATTGCCTTTTATTAACCAAATCAAATACTTGTCTCTGGTAAATCACCACTCTGCTCTAAAGATCTGATCTAAATGACTCCATAAACTTGCCCTGACCAGCCTTGCTCCAGTGACCGCTGTCTCCGAGCATGTCCTATTTCAGTTTTTATTTTTTTATAAAGATTTTATGTATTTGACAGAGACACAGCAAGAGAGGGAACACAAGCAGGGGGAGTGGGAGAGGGAGAAGCAGGCTTCCCGCGGAGCAGGGAGCCCGATGCGGGGCTCGATCCCAGGATCCCGGGATCATGACCCGAGCCGAAGGCACACCCAAATGGACTGAGCCACTCAGGCGCCCCTATTTCAGTGTTTCTAAACTTTGTTACCAGTGGAAAATAATTTATGTCATGACCAGATACACTTAATACATGTGTATCTATATGCATATGTCTATTGCACTGTAAAATGTATCACAGCTTTATTGCATGTGATGTATTTTGATTTTCTAATCCATTTCAGTATTCTAATCGTCACCCCCAAAATTTTGTCTTAAATCCTACAGTTTAAAGACAAACATCAGACAGTACATTTTATTGCTAGAGTCCTCAAATGTTCTTATGAACCTCGAATCTATTAGTTCCTAATTTCCACACACTGGTGATCCGAGGCATATTGAACAAGTTTATTCACATGTAGCAGGCCTACTCCCTTGACCCTTCCCATTCCATGGGTTCCAACTCCACAGTTTATTCCTCTGATGCTCTGGTTTCTCCTGTTCCTTTTTGGTAAGTTACTAAAAAATAGTTAAACTACCCTCATTTCCCAATTTCCAAAAGGCTGTTTTTGGATTATTTTAACATGGTTGCTTTATATGCCATTAATGCTCCAGAGCTTTTCAAAACTTGATTCTGGTCCTAACTGGTTCGATTTAGAACTCAAATCTTTCTTTTCATACCATTTTGTTTAAAATACTGAACTGATTTTAGATTGTAAATGTAATATATATTTCCTATATAAACATCTGTGAAATGTTAAGACCTATTAAGAATGGTCTTAAAAATGAGTTCTCGTACATGACCGAGAAGCCACTCATTTTAGTAAATGCCTTTTAGGCATGCAGTACTTGAGTTATATTAGAGACCGTTGTGAGGAAGAAGACAGCAAATTGAGGGGAGAGCCAGGGACCAAAAGCAAAAACTGATAGGTGTAAAGAAACAGAACATCTTTTACTATTGGAGGCTAATATTTCATTAGTCCGTGAATAAACATGTAGCAGTGAGAGAATAGAGGGGCACCTGGCTGGTTCAGTTGGTAGAGCATGCAACTCGATCTCCAGGTTGTTAAAAGTTCGAACCCCACGTTGGGTGTAGAGATTAAAAGTAAAATCTTTGGGCGCCTTGGTGGCTCAGTTGGTTAAGCTGCCTTTTCGGCTCAGGTCATGATCCTGGAGTCCTGGGATCAAGTCCCGCATCGAACTCCCTGCTTTGCAGGGAGTCTGCTTCTCCCTCTGACCCTACCCCCTCTTGAGCTCGTTCTTGAGAGAATGGAGACCAGTCCTATAGGGTTAATTTTCTGAAACTTTGAAGCAGTTATTTGCCTAGACTGGGTATTTGCAGTAACTACAGCAGTTAAAACAACTGAACTACATTGAAATCCATTATAAATTTTCATGACATCAGCCCAGATGGGACTTTGTCCTATCAGCTCTGTAGCTACCAAGCACTAAGGTGAGGGTTCAGTTGGGGCCTGACAAGGAGAGAAGTATACCACATTTATAAGGACTGCAGTGAGTACTTGGCCAAGAAGAGAGCAGGCATCTGTAGGAAAGATGGGAAGGAGCAGAGTGAACAGAAACTTCCAGGAAGCCAGGTTCTCCCTGGAAGTTGTAAACCAAGATCAAAGGCTAATCAGCCTTAACTGTCCTTTTGTTCATTTGCTTCGTTCTGTCAGGGAATAATGCACGTGAATGCTTAATAGCTCATTACTGTCATTTCCCTGCCCCCTTTGTCCTTTATTTAGAAGTCTTAAACCGGCAATCTAGGAGAAAACATGAACCAATACTTAGGGTTCTGAGGATATACGGCTGGGTCCAGGTCTAGAGAGAGGACAGAAAGAACCGAAACAAATACATGTAACAGACAAGGGTACGAAACAGTAGCCCATCAGTGGCAGCTCTGGTAAGGTAAGGATGAAGCTGTTCATCTGGGAGGAACTCATGGGGCCCCCTCAGACTATCCGGGACCAGGAATGAGCAAAGCAGCCTGCGGAAGCCCTGGTGAAGGGCAAGAATGCTCCTGTAAACTGTGCAGGTTCCTGCTCACTTCCAGTACTGAGGTTTCACAGTGGTAAGAGAACTGCCAGTAATAGTAGTAGACGTTCTTGACTGGCAGTCCTCACTTTGTTTTGTTATATTTTCAAAGATTTTATTTATGTGACAGCACAAGCGAGCGCACAGGCGGGAGCAGCAGCAGGGAGAGGGAGAAGCAGGCTTCACGCGGAGCAGGGAACGTGATGCGGGACTCGATCCCAGGACCCCGGGATCATGACCCGAGCCCGGAGCCAAAGGCAGACGCTTAACTGACTGAGCCAC